GGTCTTCCTCAGCATAAAAAGAGAATGATTAGCATGGATGTTAGCTCAGGGCTGATCTTCCTCACACACACAAAAAAATGCTTGCTTGCTTCTGGAGAGTGGGAATGGGATTAGTAGATGAGGTAGAGAATGAAAGACTTATTTTTATGTAAACCCTTCTTAACTATTTGAATTTTTATATGATCATTTCATTTAAAATTTTAAAAACTATCTCATTAAAAATAAAAATTAAATTAACAATATATATTCCTAAACACAGCCCAAAGCCTGGAAGGGCTAATTAATGTTCACCAAAATGTTAACTGTCATTTCCTGTGGGTTGTGAGATTACGGGTCATCATTGTTCTCATCTTCATATTTTGCAATGTTTTCTGATTTTTTTTAAATGAACACTTATCTTTATAATTAGATAAAAGGCAAAGCTATTTCCACATTGGGGAAAGTGATGCCATATATACATATAGAGAGAAAGGGGGGAGCTGCTGGAACCTGGATGCTTCTGAAAGCAGCCAGGGACTTCAGAACACTCTCCTTAACAGGTTACTTTGTTGCTAGTTACAGAATTCCTTTAATCCCACAGCAGTAAACACAAAGGTTTCATTTCTACTCAGCCAACTGCATGAGCTTTTTTTTCCCTACCACAAAAAGAACATGAATCTTAGAGCAAGCAAAGATCTTAGAAACATTTTCTTGAATGTGTAAAAACAGAATCCAGAAAGGTTAAAGAACTTGCCCAAAGTCTCATAGCTGATGGCACCCAGAGCTCAAGTCTCCTTACACACTGCCCAACATTCCATCCTCCCTGCCCCTCTGTGAGAGCTGTGCCCTCTCCCCTACCCCAGAGTACAGCTTGCAGTGCGTAGGTGGCATAGATTTTGGAGTTATGGTTTCTTCTATACTGTTACCAAAAGAAAGAAATTCTAGATAAATAAAGGAAAGATATGGGTATAAATTCTTGAAGAGCACTATGCTAGAGGAGGGGGGCCTAAAATGAATGCTCATCTACATTATCAGACAACTTTTCAAGTCAGTACACTCAAATTCACCTCACATTCTAAACAGTCAGAGCCCTCAGAGAATGAAGGTACCACAAGTACAGCAAGCCCTGGTGGAGAGGTAACTCACCTCCATCTCTCACAATCTTGCCTAACTTCTGTACTAAGAGCACCTTTTACTAGCAACATGGTATTGTTCAAAGAATATGGGATTTGGCATCAAAAGATCTCTGTTCCGCAGGCCGGCCCTGTGGCCTAGTCGTTAAATTTGGCACGCTCTGCTTTGGCGGCCCGGGTTCACGGGTTTGGATTCTGGGCGCGGACATACACCACTTGTCAGCCATGCTGTGGTGGTGATCCACATATAAAATAGAGGAAGATTGGCACAGATGTTAGCTGAGGGCGAATCTTTCTCAGCAAAAAAAAAAACAAGATCTCTGTTCCGGAACGAACTCTGCTACCAACTAGTCCTTCCATTTGTACAATGGCTCTAACATCTGCCCTGCCCACCTCAGTGAGCTGCTGTAACTAAAAGGGCTCAGAAAAACTGTGAGGTGCTGTTCAACATAACGTATTACAACCATGCTCTTAAAGAGTTTTGATACAGAGGGGGATAACTAGATGCTTCTCTGGCACAAGAGAAATGTACAAGATGGGAAAGGGGAACAAAGGCGTCCTGCTGGCACACCGACCAATAGGAGCTAACAGGAATGCTTCACAGGTGGGGAAGGCTATACTGCCCCTCAACCCATGTCTATCTCTGGAAACTCAGAAAATGCTATTTGCTAAAACAAAATCATCCAATCACCTCAACTGGGCCACTGACCCCAGGGGCTCATCTCAGCAGTAACTACCAGGCTGTCTTTTCTCTCAGCTCTGGAAAAGCCAGACTTGACCTCAGGGATATGAAGGGATTATAATCCAGCAAAATCACCACCAGAAATTTTCATTTGCTACTTAAAAATGGAGCCCTGAAAGGAAACTTACAGCTTATCTGCCCATGGTTCCTAAATCTGGCTTGTCATCGGAATCACCTAGGGGCTTTTTTAAAACAAAGATCTTGAGCCTTGCCCAAACTTTCTAAATCTCCAGAGGTGAGATAAAAGAGTCCATAATTTTTTTTTTTTTTTTTTTTGTGAGGAGATCAGCCCTGTGCTAACATCCGCCAATCCTCCTCTTTTTTTGCCGAGGAAGACGGCCCTGGGCTAACATCTGTGCCCATCTTCCTCCACTTTATATGGGACTCCGCCACAGCATGGCTTGCCAAGCAGTGCGTCGGTGCGCGCCCGGGATCCGAACCAGCGAACCCCGGGCCGCCGCAGCGGAGCGCGCGCACTTAACCGCTTGCGCCACCGGGCCGGCCCCAGAGTCCATAATTTTTAAAGCACCCCAATAACTCTGATGATCAGTCAGACCAGGGTACTCTCTCATTTTTCATATGAGATGACAGTGACTAGGTGGGGCCAGGCACGGGACTAGGATCCAGCCCCCCACTGCCAGTTCAGAACTCTCCCTCTCACTGCCTGCTGCCTCTCCTGAAATCTTACAGTGTCCACTCTGAGTCCAGACCATTTCCTCTTCATAGAAAGAAACGTTGGAGCCCTACTTAGAAATTCAGGAGCCGTCCTGTGGCCATTTTACTCAACCAAAAGAACAGTATCTGACTTAAGCCCAGTTCTTTACCAACAGGGGCTTCAGACCTCAGGCTGCACTAGGCTGTCACTGTCCAGGCCCTAGAGCTTATGAGCTAATCAACCCCGTCCTCTTTATAAACAATCATCTTTTGGGCACTGACTTAATTTATGACAGTAATCCCAATTACACAAATGGTGGATGCTAAAAAAAACTACTGACATTGGTCTTTTATGATTTTGGAAGTAGCAAATTTCTTCCCAATGTAGATTCTCTTGGGATACCTTTGAAATGAGTGGGAATTTCCTGAAAGAGTGCGAGCTGGTCACAAGGTGAGTCAGCCTGACAAATGCCTGGGGTCAGAGAGAAGCTAGCTTGGGTCTAACACTTGGGTCACATGATCCCAGTCTTACAAGTACTTGACTAGTCTAAAGGAGGATATGTTTACAAAGGAAATCTCCAATGTCAAGGGAAATAAACGAGTACAACATACCTTGAAAGTGTGACTCACATACCATGCAATTACCCTTCACCAAAAGGATTTTGTGATACACTACCAGGTTATTATAAAGTCCAAGGCATAAGAACAGGCCAAAGAACAGACACATGGGCATGCAGACAGATACCTCTTAGGGTAACAGTCACATCTGGATCTGTATGGCCAGTTGACTAAGTCACAGTTTTACAGGACTGCTAGAAATCAAGTGAAATCTTTACACTGGATTCTATGGGAGGAAGAAGGTCAAAATCAAAACTCAAAATAGGATTTTGGGACGAAGCCTATAATGTAGCATGTAATGCCAATGCCAAGAAAGATTCCTATATAAACAATGTTAAAGTGGGAAGGAATCACAGAGGCGTGTTCCAACTCAACCCACTGTTATATAGTTGAAGACAAAAAGGAACAGACAAAGTGACATGTCCAAGTTCACACGGCTACTGAAGAGCAGGGTTGGGACTCGCCTTCAGGACCCTGACACCCTGGCCACTGGATTCAGCTGAGCTGGATTACCAATATAGAGCGGCTCCTGAGGAAATCCAAATGCACCATTCCAAATACCTTAACATATCTACTTTCACTCCCTCTTTTGCTCTGGCTATCGGGGTATACTGATATTTCAGATTTTTCACTTGTTAAATGATGGCTGAAAAGAAGGCAGTTTTCAAATTTACCCTTTTATATTTAATTTCAACATTTACTGAACGTCTACTCTGAGTTAGGCATCGTCCTGGGCCACAGGAAGCACCGATGAATAAGACAGTTCATTATGCATCACCTGTGGTTCAACAACATCGAAGTCTGCCCCTATCATGTGGCCCTATCATGGGGAGAGCATTTTGAGCAACAACGATAAAGGAATTTGATTGTTTCAGTTTGGTTCCTGGTGAGAACTAATCCACATCACAAAATTCGAACCATTTCAGCTCATCCTCACACTGAGAAGGCGTGAACAGCCAGGAAGCCAGCCCCAATAAAAGGCATGAATGCTGAAGATTTTAATAGCAGGAAATTTCTATTCAGAGCCCTTGGGGAGACCAAGGGTAGGTTTGGAGACAGAAGGGAAGCTCGACGTGACGCCAAAGGTAGAACTTCTGTATCTGGCCAAAAACCCACAGGAGATATGAGCTCCAAAAAAAAAACACACTTCACTTTCTCAAACATTTCAACTTTGGGTAATTTAAAAAGTAACAGACATTTGCGCTGGATGAGAACTCAAGGTGGTTCCCCCTTATTCCTACCTCCCAGTGACCAGCAAGTTTGGGTGGAATCTCCAATCCCAGCTTCTCCAGCTCTCGCTCCCTGTACTTCTCATACTGTCGGTAACCTGCATACCCACTGCCTGTCACAAACAGAACAGGCAGGGGGCGCAGCAGGAACAAGGTTCGAGCAGGGGCAGTGTGGACTTTTCTGGCATCTGTAACAAAAAACAGAAAAATTTTCAGCCTGGGAAAAGGGACAGAGATGAGTCATGCAAACACAGCATCAACAGGAGGGCTGGGAAAAGTCAATGCATCTTAGAAGCCCTCAGTAAAGGTGACTGGACCCTGAAGGGATCTGACAGGCAGGTGCAACCCTGAGTCACTACTAAGACCCTCTGTCACCAAATTTTATCAATAAGTAAGGGACAAGCATCTTTCCTGTGAAACTACAATGCACCTCAATTGCCACCAAAGTCACAGAATTTAAGATGAAAACACTGAATCACAGAGAGGTCAAGAAACTAATCAAGGTTGCCCAGCTGGCCACGAATCGGTACACGACTGGGAGCCAGGTACCATTTCTCACCCAAGGCTCTCTGATTTTTACAATCCAGGCCCAATTCTGATTGGACACTAGTATTCTCAAATGCAAAATCTCATAAGCTCTTACAATTCAACAATAAAAAAGACAACCCAATTTAAAAATGTACAAAGGATTAGCATAGACACGTCTCCAAAGAAGATACGTGAATGGCCAACAGGCACATGAAAAGATGCTTAACATCTGTTATGGGTTGAATTGTGCCCCCTGCCCCCAAATTCATATGCCAAAGTCTTAACCCCCAGTACCTCAGAATGTGACCTTACTTGGATATAGGGTCATCATTGGTGGGCCCTAATCCAATATGACTGGTGTCCTTACAAAAAGGGAAAATTTGGAGGCAGACATACATACAGCGAGAACGCTATATGAAAATGAAGGCAGAGATTGGGGTGCTGCTTCTATAACTCAAAGAACTCAAAGACTGCCAGCAAACCATGAGAAGCTAAACAAGAAGCATGGAACAGATTCTGCCTCACACCCCTCAGAAGGAAGCAACCCTGTGACACTGTGATCTCGAACCTCTAGTCTCCAGAACTGGGAGAGAATAAATTTCTACTGTTTAAGCCACTCGGTGGTACTTTGTTATAGCGGCCCAGCAAACCAACACAGCATCATTAGTATCAGGGAAATGCAAATCAAAACCACAATGAGATACCTCTTCATACCCACTAAGATAGTTACAATCAAAAAGACAAACAACTGTTGGCAAGGATGTGGAGAAATTGGAACCCTCATATACTCCTCGTGGGATTGTAAAATGGGGCAGCCACTTTGAAAAAGACTGTCAAGTTTCTCAAAATGTTAAACGTAAAATTACCATATGACCCAGCAATTCTGCTCTTAGGTATATACCTAAGAGAAGTGAAACACACATCTACACAAAATCTTGTACAAGAACGTTCAATAGCAGCACAACAGCCAAAAAGTGGAAACAACCTAAATGTCCATCAAGTTGAATGGATAAACAAAATGTGGCATATCTGCACAATGGAATATTATTTGATACTAAACAGAATGAAATAATAACACATGCTACAACATGAACCTTGAAAACATTATGTAAAAGAAGCCAGCCACAAAAGACTGCATATTGTATGGTTCCATTTATATAAAGTGTCCAGTATAGGAAACATAACTATAGAGACACAAAGTAGATTAGTGGTTGCCAGTGGCTGGGGATAGGGAGAAATGGGCAGTGACAGTTTAATGGGTCATGTGCTGTTATTGGGGGGAGGCGCAAGGAGAGGAAAAAACGTTCTAAAATTAGATAGTGGTGACGGTTGCACAACTCTGTGAATATACTAAAAAGCACTGAATTGCATACTTAAAAGGGTGAAATTATGGTATGCGAATTTTATCTCAATAAAGCTGTTATTAAAACAAAATCTCAAGAGCTGAATTCTCAGTAGCCTGTGCAAAACCCAAGAGCGTAACCTGCGTAATGCCTCTGACTTCGATGGAAGGAAATCATCCTGCTCCCGATGTCACTGTCCCTCCTCCATGTTTGGGTTGTTGCTGTTTCTTTTTTTTTAATGAGCAAGTGTGGATGTCATTAATCTCCTCCATCTTCTAATTATTCCTAGTGAACCCTTACCACTTCACAACTAAATATTCAACTTCTGACCATGAAAAACTTGTCAAAAAGCAAAAAACATTTTTTTTCTCTTTCTGAAATACTTGATGACGAGAGAATTGGTGTGCCCTCCCTGCTCTGAGTCAGCATCCTAGACTGACTAGTCACCCTCTACTGAATGCTGTCTGGTACACTGGTCCTTTCCTCAATTATAGGCCTCTTCCTCTTGCCTTCTCAAAGGCTTACTTTACCACTCCAAGAGGAAGTAGTAAGTAGAGAGAATCTTCCACTCTTGACCACCTCTCTGCTAGGTTTGTCACTTTATTAAAAGCACAGCTTTTCTGCAGATCCAAGATTATGACTCAATTTCTGAGGCTCCTCCTCCATCCCTCATGTTATTCCTACGTGTTCCAGCATGCAAGTCCTAATTAAATAAGTAACACCCAGATGTGCTCCTATTAACTACCATAATAAGCTTTTTGTTTTTGTTCTCATTAACCATCTCATTTTATTCCCAAGGTACTCTCACTGGGCGTTAAAAATAGCTTTCAATATGCTAGAATAAAAACGATATTTAGATAATAAAGATAATACACATTTTTGTATGGGTTCAAATAGCTGCTTACAAGATCAAAAAAGTTCACAATCCACAGTTGATGAGGGTATGGGGAACTGATGTACTCACGAGCACTTGCTGCTCCTGTGAGTGTAAACTGGGACAGTTCTCTTTGAAGAACAATTTGCTCTAAATACCGAATTGTAAAATACATAAACCTCTTGATCCAGCAATTCTACCTCTACAAATTTATCCTGAAGATGTGCAAAAATATGTTACTTCAGAATTGTCTGTGGTAGAAAATGACTAGAAATAACTTAAATGTCCAACACCAAATGGTACCGGCATACAATGGAATACTAAGCAGCCAGTAAAAATGATGAGTTAATAGTTAACGCTTCACTGTAACTATGTACCAGGCAGTCTAAGTACTTCACAGGTACAATTTCATTTAATTCTAACAACAACCCTATGACATAGGTGCTTTGTTTACCCCAATTTACTGATAAGCAAACTGAAACACAGAGAGGCCAGCACCACCTCTAATTGCTACTTACTTGTGCTAAAGGCTCTGAGAGGCGGCTTCCTCAAGGATTGTAGGAAATGGCTCAGGGCAGTATTTTCACAGTGAAGAAAGCTATAACAAAGCAAAAATGAACCATTAAACATTTTTCTTAAAAAAAAAAACAGTGGATCAATTGGCAAAATTTGAATACAGTCTATACATTCAGTAAAAGTACTGTATCAATATTAATTTCCTGGTTTTGACCACTGTACTGTGGTTATGTAAGAAAATGTCCTTGTAGGAAAAGGCCTAAAATATTTAAAGGCAAAGCGGCATCAAGTCTGTAACTTGCTCTCAAGTGTTTCAGAAAAAAAATATACATATACACACACACATACACATAGAGAGAGAAAGGTGGGGAGAGGGAAGGAGAGAGAATGATAAAGCAAATATAGTCAATATTTGGGGAATCTGGGTAAAAGGTATTTGAGAATTCTATGTACTATTTTTATAACTTTTCTGTAAGTCTGAAACTATTTCACAATAAAAAGTTACTTTTTTCTTAATTAAGCCTAAAATGATAATAAGCAGTAAAGCCAGTACTCTTACACAAAGCCAGATATATCTGCACCACAAAAGAAGAGCTGTATAAAGCCTTGTAAACATCTAAATCCTACTCATTAAAAGCTCTAATAGGGCAGGTGGCCGAAATTTTAAATTTTAAACGTTTGTCTTGGGAAAAAATGACACAAACAAACCATGTTGAATTATTCTAATCTACTTCAAGTCTGGAAGGCTCAATTGGTTTAGAATTTTTGAATTATCTTTTGTGGCTACCTTGCCACAAAAGATAATTTAACAGAGTGAATAGGTTTCAAGCGTTCTGAGAAAAAATTACCAATCATTTTCATAGCTTTTAAGCTCTGAGAAAAATACCATTTCTGATTCAGTTTGTTTCTCTGTTTCATCTTCACTCAGGGAAACTGGACATATCCCCAGTGGCATAAGCGATGACAATGCCAGCAAGTAAGGCATCAATGAATTTTTAGTTAACAGCTAAATCCCCCCTTAATCAAGGAGCAAACATCCCACCTTCAATTCAGATAGCACTTCAGCTTTCACAAATATTGACCTGAAATCTAAAGTAAAGAAACTCTATCCTTGTCAGTAAGAGTTTCTTTTCTACTTGGAGCCCTTTATGATAGAATAATTTACTCTATTATAAATGTTTAGGGCCGGCCCCGTGGCTTAGCGGTTAAGTGTGCGCGCTCCGCTACTGGCGGCCCGGGTTCAGATCCCAGGCGCGCACCGATGCACCGCTTGTCCAGCCATGCTGAGGCCGCGTCCCACATACAGCAACTAGAAGGATGTGCAGCTATGACATACAACTATCTACTGGGGCTTTGGGGGAAAAATAAATAAATAAAATTATAAATAAATAAATGTTTAAATTACTATTCTTGTGGAAATAGAACTGCATTTATGACTTTCATAGAATAATATTTACTTTCATGGATATATAGTAGTTATGTCTTATATAGCTATCCTGTAAACATTATCAGATTTAGGGACCTTCATTTTTTCACATGAAATTTCCTTGACTCCCACTCAACCAGGCTTTTGTTCCTATCATGTCACCTCTTGTCAAGGTCACCAACAACCTCCATGTTGCCAACACCAAAGCACATTTCTTGGGCCTCATGTTATTTGGCCTGTCAGCAGCATTTGCCACAGTTGATCCCTTTCTTCTTTTTTTTTTATTGAGGTGTAATTGACATATAACATTATATTAGTTTTAGGTGTACAACATGATTCGATATTTGTATAAACTGCAAAATGATCACCACAATAAGTCTAGTTAACACCCATCACCATACATAGTCACAAAATTTTTTTTTCTTGTGATGGGATCTTCTCTCCTAGCAACTTGCAAATATGCAACACAGTATTATTAACTATAGCCACCATGCTGTACATTACATCCCCAGGACTTATTTATTTTATAACTAGAAGTTTGAACCTTCTGACCCCTTTACACTTTCTCCTTGAAATATATTCCTCACTTGGCTTCTGTGACCCTGATTTTCCTCCTACCTCTCTGGTCTCTCCCTAATTTCAAACCCTTGCCATGCCCAGGGTTCAGACCTCTTCTCTGTCTACACTCTCTCCCTAGAGATGCTCATCCAGTCCCATGGCTTTAAATAGCCAGATACTGATGATTTCCTCACTGCTCATTCAGAGACCTCTAGATCCATATTTCCAACTGGCTACCCAACATCCCCACTGTGAGACATCTTAAACTGAGTTTGTCCAAAACAGAATTCCTGACCCTCCCTAACTCCCCTTCAACCTGCTCCTCCCCTAGAGATGACCATCTGTGGCAGAGACTAGCCAGATGTTTACCAAATCTGCCTCTTCTTCTTCCTGGGTACCCAACAGAGTACATTTCCCAGCCTCCCTTGAAGTAGGGTGTGGCCAGAGAACTGAGTTCTAACCAATGTGAGGACCATTCAGGCTTCCCAGGTATCCACCTCCAGGCGTGCCCCTTTCAGCCTGCTTCACGCAAACATGCAGACCTTGAGAAGCCATGTGTTAAAGATGGCAGAAGACTGGGTCCCCGAATCACTGCTGCCCCGCAGATCAGGAGCACCCATTAGGACTTTACAAGATCAAGACGTTAACTTTTACTGTGTTAGGTCATTGAGATGCTGGGGTTTACCTATTACCATAGTAGCATTACTACAATTAATACACCCTCTCATAAAAAGGCACCACCATTTACCCAGCTATACAAGTCAAAACCCTAGGACTCATTCTTAAGTCCTTTGTTTCTCACCATCCACATTCAACCTGCTGGCAAGGCATGAAGACTAAATATATCCTAATCTGCCTAGTTCTCATCACAGCCACTACTCTTACCCTAGCCCAATCCACGTGCTCTCTGACCAGAGGACTGCAATAGCCTGTTCTCCCTGCTTCCACTCTTGGCCCTCTTGCATCCTATTTGCCACATAACAGCCAACTGATCTTTTCAAAACAGAAAGACAGACCAGACTCTAAGTAATTGGCCCTGCTGCTTTCAGATCTCCTGCTGCTTTCTCTCTCCTCCTCACTCATGCCTCCTGCCACTCCTTGTACACACCACACCTTTGCCCCCTTCTACACCTGTGCGTGTGCTGTCTGCACTCCTGGGCACACCCCTCTATGTAGCTCACTTTCTCACCATTTGGTTGTCTGCTCAAACGATTCCTTCTCAGTTTGGTTTTTCCTGTCCACCATATGTCCAAGAGTTGCCCCTCTCAAGCACTTGCTAACCCCTTAATTACCTTCCTTTATTTTTCTTCATAGCACATCTCACTATCTGAAATGAATAGACTCTATATATACTCACTTATTTGTTTACTGTCTGTATGTCTCCATGAACATGGGTTTGTCTGTCTTCTCACTGGACTTCAATCTCAACAGTGAGATTTAGCCCCAGGGAGATGAACGGATAGGTTCAACTAGACGTCTCTCCCACATGGTGAAGACACATGGGCATTCTGCAAGAAGGTGATTAAAGCCCATGATTAGGGGCCAGCCCCATGGCTTAGCGGTTAAGTGCACGCACTCCGCTACTGGTGGCCCAGGTTCGGATCCGGGCACGCACCGACACACCGCTTGTCCAGCCATGCTGAGGCTGCGTCCCACATACAGTAACTAGCAGGATGTGCAACTACGACATACAACTATCTACTGGGGCTTTAGGGAGAAAAAGGGAAAAAAAGGAGGAGGATTGGCAATAGATGTTAGCTCAGGGCTGGTCTTCCTCAGGAAAAATAAGAGGATTGGCACGGATGTTAGCTCAGGGCTGATCTTCCTCACAAAAAAATAAATAAATAAATAAATAAAATAAAATAAAACCCATGATTAAAACTCAAGTCTGACTGTGTGGCTCAAATCCCAGTTCTGCCACTTATTAGCTGTGGGACCTTAGGAAATTTCTTAACTAATGCTAAGCCTCAGTTTCTCCACCTATAAAACAGGACCTACCTCATTAGGACTGAAACAATCATGTAAAACCCTGAGCCCAGGGCTTAGCACCTAGTTACATATTACTATTATTAAAAGTAATAGAGTTGCTATTCAGCTGGCACATACTGGGATGGCCACATCAACTATCTATGACTAGTGTCCACTCTGATTGGTCTGTGCCCATATTGTCGTGGTTATAAAATATTTTTAACAACCTCCCTGGTGGTAACATTTTAACTATAATCCTTATATCTCTCCTGCTTTCTAAACCTGTGAAAGTTTTCCCTCTTGAAAGCCTTATTCCACATTCTGTCTTGTATTAGAATATTTAGTAGAGTGTTTCCTTTCTTCTGCTAAACTGTAAAGTTCCTTAACCAAAAGGCCTATTTCAAATACATCTTTTAGTTCCTCTCTTTTCCTCCATTTCCCCCACGGTCCCTGGCACTGTGGTTTCCAGTGGTAGGGATGTCATAAATATTTCTGAAAGTCTTCCACAAGCAATCACTTTCTAGACACTATGTCCATACTTGCCTACACCTATGAATCACCTGAAGCACTTGTAAAAACATAGTTGCCAGAGCCCCAACCTACATCTACTAAACCTGAATTTGGCAGCAGGGCAGGGGTACATCAGCAAATCTCTATTCCTAACAAATATCCCAGCCCATTCTTTTATTAAACAAGTTTGGGAAACACGGCCCTAAATTATCACCCAAGATGTTGCTTTCTCTTTGATCTACCACCTGCCACACATCATCCAGTTACTGAAAAACTTCCCTGCAATATAAGGCTTTCATCTGTCTCACAGACACTACTTTACTTAAAACTCAGGAGAATGTTATCTTTTTGGGTTTTTCGTGTGTTGATATCGTTTCTATCTTGATATGTAATACCTTTGAAAATTACAAGTTCTTCTTATTGTACCCAGATCCTCATCCCTCCCTCCCACTGCACCTAAATCCAGTCTTATCTACCTACACTAGTACTATAAAGTATGACTTTTTTTTCCTTTTCCCTTCTTAATGATGGTGAGTCAGGAATATCCTCCTCACCACCATTTTAAAAAAGTACTTTAGAAGTGTCATTTTTTAGTCTCTCCATCTCATGACACAGTTCAGATGAATTCTATGGTGGACTCATAAGCAGCACACCTGGTAATAACATTGAAACCACAGAGACCAGGGCCGGCTCTGTGGCTTAGCGGTTAAGTGCGCGCGCTCTGATGCTGGCGGACCGGGTTCGGATCCCGGGCGCGCCCCGAGGCACCACTTCTCCGTACAACGCGAGGCCGAGTCCCACGTACAGCAACTAGAAGGATGTGAACCTATGACATACAACTATCTACTGTGGCTTTGGGGGGAAAAAAATGAATAAATAAAATCTTTAAAAAAAAAAAAAAAAAGAAACCACAGAGACCCACAGAACTGTCCAAATCCTAACAGTTACCAGCACATTGCAGAGCCCCCTCCTGAGAGAGCTACACTATTTCTGAACAGTTAATGACGGGAGAGTGAAGCTTTCACGGGAAGGCCAGTGACAGTCTCTGCTCTCTCTCAGTGCAAATCCAGTGTCCTTTTACTTCCCAAAATTACAATGACAAAGTCACCTCCAATTACAGCGCCAAGCTTTGGTCAACGCTGACAAAATGAACCCTGCCGGAAACACAAAAGTATTTGAGTCTCTCAAACTTTAACTTTGAAATGACACGGAGCAGCAGACCTTGAGTCATAGCTACCAACATATTAATCCATTTTCCGAGAGTCCAAATGCTCCCAAGCTATTTCGAACTAATAAATGCCCTCATGGTGGGCAGCCTGAGGGAAAGGGCCTTGCGTGAGAGAGAGAGGTACCCGGGCGTGGTCCCGGCTCTGCTGCTAACTAGCTGGGTGACACTGAGCAAGTCCTTCCCTCTCTTAGGGCGTCAATTTCGTCAACTCCAAAAACAGCTGGATTTAGATGTCCCTCAGGTCTCTTCCAGCTCTAAGAACCTACGAGTTGGGAGTCACCAAGGTAACCAAGAACCCAATTCTATAATAGAGTATTTTGAAATTACCGAATCCAACTTCCTCCCTTCAAAAGCCAAAAATCCGAAGTGAAAGCTGCCGGACTCCCAGTCCAGTGCTCTTCCACCATCAAGCCGCCCCTTCCAGGAACACGAATCCCTGAGAAAGAGGAGTCCAGTCCTGCCTCGACTCTAGCGGCAGGCACGCAGCCTATTCCATCTGGGTGTTTTGGGGTTTTGTCCCTTGTGCACTTCCACCTGGCTGGAAAGGGTAAAACTGGAGCGCATAGGCCAGACCCCAACTAAACCCGGACCGCTCTACGTGGCGGCCGTCGCACCTGCTCCTTAGCTCGAGGTGAAGGTGGGTGGCTCCGTCTCCACCTGAGCTCTCTTCAGGGCGAGCCCGCGATAGAAAAACTATTCCTCTCTTCCGACCCTGGTTTGGCCCAGGCTGCCCTCCGCACCCCGCCCCGAGGCCGCCTCCCCAAGCAGCTGTACCTGCTCCGACACGGCGCGATCCCGAACAGCAATCTCAGACACCGACACCCCACGGACGGCGCCATCTTGTCTCCTCCTTCTCGGCGGGCCACGCCCCTTTAACACGCGGGGCGCACGCGTGTGACGTCACGATCCTCGCGCTCTCGGGGCCAATGAGGAACGCGAGGGGGCTGTGGGCGGAGCCGACTAAGCTACTCCCTCGGGCGGCTCTCGGCCGCATCAACCTGGGGCGTGGAGCGCCTCCAGAGTCAGGTTGGGAAGGTGAGGGTGGTGGCGACGCCTGCTCTGCTAAACCTGAGCCTGGGCGCAGCGTTGCCAGTCCGCCTTCTTCCCTCTGGCGTGCGCTTCCGCATGCGCATGGAAAATCTGAATCACCCAGGGTCCGAGAATGTATGACCTGAGCTAATTCGTTCATATATCAGATGTGGAAACTAAGAACATCCACGATTCAGCTACTATTTATTAAGCGCTTCCTAAGTGCCAGGCTCTGTTCTGAGCACTTTGCATGCATGGTGTCTCATTCTTACCTTCCCAAGCTGAAGGAATACAGCTCCACTTTTTCCTCCCCTAGGCTGCTAATCACCGTTGCCTTCACCAGACGTTTGACGCTGGAGGAGGAATATGTTGCCTGGTGCCTGCAATTATTTCTGTGTGTTCTTTAGAACACACAGCATTATTCATAAAAGTCAAAAGGTGGAAACAACACAAATGTCCATCAACTGACGAATGGATAAACAAAGTGTGGTATATCCAGATAATGGAATATTATTCAGCTATAAAAAATGAAGTACCAATACATATTACAACATTGATGAACCTTGAAACATTAGGCTAAGCGAAAGAAGCCAGTCCAAAGACCACATTTTGTATTATTTCATTTATTTGAAATACCCAGAACAGAGAAATCTACAGACAGAAAGCAGATTAGTGGTTGCCTAGGGATGGGGAAGAGGGAATGAGAGGATAGAGGGATAAATAAAAGGTACAGGATTTTTTGGGAGGTGATGAAAATGTTCTAAAATCGACTGTGGTGGTGAATTCACATATCTGTAAATATACTAATAACAACCATGGAATTGTCAACTTAAAATGAATGAATTATATGGTATGTGAACTATATCTCAGTACAGCTGTTTTTTTTGTTTGTTTTTTTGTGAGGAGATCAACCCTGTGCTAACATCTGCCAATCCTCCTCTTTTTTTGCTGAGGAAGACTGGCCCTGGGCTAACATCCGTGCCCATCTTCCTCCACTTTATATGGGACGCC